TTTACATCATCCCCATAACAATCACTCCCAACAATATTATTTTAATCATATCAGGAACTCTTATTTTCATCCCATCATTCGGTTTTACTTCTTCTTCTTCTTTTCCTCCTTCTTCTGTCTCTCTGCTTGAATCGGTGGTACATTTGGTAGGCTTGCACTTGCGCATCGACGTCAACGTCACTGTCGACGTCACCGTTGACGTACTCGTTGTCGTACTCGTATGCAATGATGTACGTGTTACCCATGTATCTGTTGTTTGTACCATTGTACACTCTTCTGTTACTTTTCCTCCACCTACTGACTTGGTTACCGTAACAGTCTTCTCAACGGTCTTCTCATCAGCCTTGCCATCAGTCTTTGTTTCCGTCTTTGTTTCCGTCTTCGTTTCTGTCTTCGTTTCTGTTATTTTCTCTGTATGATGAGGCTTAATTTCTAATGGTTTTATTCCTCCGCATAACTCGTCTATTTTTTCGCAAGCTTGTTTAGATTCCTGACATTCCTCTCTAAAACCGCAATCTAGTTGTAAAGCTTTACATTCTTCTTTCAATTCCAAATACAACTCCAATGCTATCGTCGTTGCATCAAATGCTTTGACCTCTGCTTCTGATACTCCTCCATCTACATATGCTCTTTTAACGAGTCCAAGTTTTGCATTATTCTTCGTTTGACCTGATGTGCCTGATGTTCCATCTGGTGCTCCTGGTGGTCCACCTGGTGCTCCTGGTGTTTCACCACTTGGTTGCCCTGCTGCTGGTGGTGGCCCTGGTGGTGGTGGTGACCCTGATGCTGATGACGACCCTGATCCTGCTGGTGCTGGTACTGGTGCAGAAGCACTGCCATTCTGCGCAGTTGGCATTGCGGCTTTTCCAGACTTTGATAGCAATAACTTAGCTTCCTTTGTAGATTTTTCTGCCGCCTGTTTGAGCGCATCGTACTCAGTCTTCATCTTTGTCAACTCCTCTTTCGCATTCTCCAAATCGGTTTTTAAAGTAGGGCATCTCTTTTTTACTTTATCAACTAATTTTTTGCAAACACTTTCCTTGGTGTCCTCTTGACAATTAGTAAGCAGAATTTTGAATGCTTCATTCTTTTCTAACACAGTGCAACGCTCTCCTAATGCTTCTTTACATTTTTTTTCCTCGCTTAAACTGCCTTTCAACAGATGAGTCAGCTCCTCCTTCGCTTTCAACTTTTTAAAGGTTTCACTGCATTTTTCTTCGAGTTTGTCACAGTTATGATCTTTGTTATCACTTTCTTTTTTCAACTTATCTGGACAATTCTCCACAAGTTGATGACAATGTCTGCCCCATGTTGTGCAGAGTTCTTCAAGCGCTGTTTCATCTGCTTTTTTCTTTTCAATTTCTTCTACAATTTTTTCATCCTCCATGTTGCCACTTAAATAAAAACATTCATCTTTTGTACGGTATACCATATATTCACATGTTTCTCCTGGCAAAGCACATGAAACACTAAATGAATTCTTTCTCCTCCTATATAAAGTATTACATTTTTCTTGCAACACCTCCGTACAGTTTTGCTCATTATATAATGCATGATCTTTTCTTTTTAAAAATACTTTTCTAAATTCCTCTGAAACTCTAAGGTATTCACAGCGCCTTCTCAATGTTATACACTTTTCCGAATTCGAATGTGAATAAGTTTCAAGTTCATCACACTTCTCCTTCAATTCAACACAATGCTTTTCTAATGGAAAATCCCTTTGATCATCCAAAAGCGCTCCCAACTCTTTGGATTGAAGGAAAATATCATCTGAAAGCATATAACATAGTTCTTTAGGATAAAGACACTTTGGAAGGTATCTCTTATCTTTATTTTCAAGTTTTGTACACTCTTCTACCACAGATTTTTGGCATTCTTCAGGATGGTTATAATATCTTTTATGACCAGACTCCCCCTTCGATTCCTTTCGAAACAACGTACTCAACATCCTATCTTTTCCCATTTTATAGCACGCTGCTCGTGCATTTTGACATGCTTCATCAATCTCCTTATCTTTACACGCCTTTTTTAAATAAAAACATTCCGATTCAAGTTCTGCACACTCTCCCTTTGTAAATAAGGTTGGCAGTTCTCTCCAGAATAAAAGTTTTGATTTTTCATTATCATATTTTGTAGACAAATCTTTCAGATAAAGATTTAATTTGAGATTTGTACATCTTTCTTCTACATTTAGTAATTTTTTGCATTTTTCGTTTTTATTCTTTCCATCATCGCATAACTCTTTAAAATCATTATCCAAATGCTTAGAAGTATCACATTTTTCTAACGCTTTAGTGCACTTTTTTACTGTATCCTTATCATCCTCATCTTGGCTCAACACTAGCAAAAGATCTTGCAGAAAATCATCACCAAACCTTCTTGGTAGATCCACGCCTACTTTTCCAATAAGAATTCCTTCTTTTTCAGCTCTTTTATAAACATCTTCCAACCCAATACTTCTCAACAACGACGCCCTCGGTTTCACCGGAGTAAAATCGGATCCTGGCGCTTTATATATGACTCCATTTTTCTCGCATTGCTCCTTATCATCCTTACATTTTGTATTACTACACGCTTCTCCGTAAAAATGACATTTCTCAAGTCTTTCATGACATTTTTCCTTTAATTCGCCATCTTTAAGCTGTACTTTTAAAGGCCCACAAACAGTATCCAATTTTGTTTTCAGCGCTTTACACGTTCCAGTCGGATCAAGGCAGAAAGACATCAACTCGTCGCTTTCTCGGCTTAACATTGGGCAAACCTTTTCCATCTTTCCTTTACATGTGTTTTCATCTTTAGCATCCCCTCCGAGCGCCCTGAAAAGAAGCTCCTCTGCCACCTTTTCACGCTTCAATTTGTAACATCCTTCCCTCAACTTGACACAGTTCTTCTTAATATCTTCATGATCCGTCTCTTCTAAAAGTATACATTTTTCTTCATATTTTTCACATTCTTCATCTTTTATATTATTCGATGCATTTTGAATTTCCGCATCAAAAGTGTCCAATTCATCTTCAACTTGCAGGTCTGTGCATTTTTTATCTCGTTTTGTTTTATCACCACCACCACAAAGTTCTTTAACTTTCTCATTCACACTGAATTTCTCATCTGCTTCCTTCAACTCTTCACAATATTCCTCGAGCCTTTTTTTGCATTTATTATCATCATTATATTCCTTCTTCGCAATGAAAGCCAAAAGGTGTTCCTCCTTAATCTCCTCTGCTGGTGCTCCTTGTGGTGCTTGCCTCTTAACCGGCCGTGCCATTGCCGCTTCTTTTTAGGGAGTTTAGTGGGTAGTTTCTAAGTTGGATGT